AAAAAGCCAGGTGCGGTGGCTCATGCCTGTAATCCTAACACTTTGGGAGGCCAAGGCAGGTAGATTGCCTGAGCTCAGGAGTTCGAGATCAGCCTGGGCAACATGGTGAAACTCTGTCTCTACTAAAATACAAAAAATTACCCGGGCGTGGGAGCACGTGCCTGTAGTCCCAGCTACTCAGGAGGCTAAGGCAGGAGGATCGCTTGAACCCAGGAGGCAGAGGTTGCAATGAGCCAAGATCACGCCACTGCACTCCAGCCTGGCAACAGAGCAAGACTCCGTCTTAAAAAAAAAAAATTTGCAGAGCAAACCAGGATATCCTCTGTTCTCATTTGTTCTAGATTTCAAAAGAAAGTCCTTTCTTTGAGGAAAAGAGAAAGGAAAAGGAGTTTATAAAGGGAAAGAAAACATTCATAAGATAAGAAGTGTGCCCATTTGCATATACCTTTGTAGAAAACTGTTCAGTGTTGTTGAAGAAAACTCTTCATATTAATATGCAGTCCAGGTGCAGCGGCTCAACACTTACAATCTCAGCACTTTGGGAGGCTGAGACAGGAAGATTACTTGAGGCCAGGAGTTTCAAACCAGCCTGGGCAACATAGTGAGACTCTGTCTCCACAAAATTTTTTTTTTAATTAGCCAGGCATGGCAATGTGCACCTGTAGTCTTAGCTACTGAGGAAGCTAAGCCAGAAGAATCACTTGAGCCCAGGAGTTCAAGGCTGCAGTGAGCTATGTTCATACCACTGCACTCTTAACACTTGCACAGAGCAAGACCCTATCTCTTAAAAAAAAGTGTGTGTGTGTGCATATGCGTATATACATATATATACATGCAAATGTATCTTTATAATTCAAATTGCTTCAAAAAGATGTTGCACTTTATGATACTGAGAACAGTGAGAAGTAAATAAGATAGAGTGTAGGAGGAGGAATAGTTTTAGAGCAGCCATCTGAGAACTTCTGTGACAACAGATCAGGCAAAATAAAATGTGAAAGTAATTTTATAGGCCGGGCGCGGTGGCTCATGCCTGTAATCCCAGCAGTTTGGGTGACTGAGGTGGTTGGATCACTTGAGGTCAGGAGTTCGAGACCAGCCTGGTCAACATGGTAAAACCTTGTCTCTACTGAAAATATAAAAAAGCTGAGCACAGTGGCATGTTGGTCAGGCTGAGGCTGGCCTTGAACTCCTGACGTCAGGTGATCCACCCACCTTGGCCTCCCAAAGTGCTGGGATTACAGGTGTGAGCCACTGTGCCTGGCCAGATGCGTGAATTTTGAAATGTATACTAGACATCTGGATAGAGAAGTTAAGTAGGCAGTTGGACACATCGTATGAAGCTCAGGAGTACAAGGAGGACTATAAACATGGGAGTCTTCTGACAAATTTATCACTAGACTTCTCATCCAAGTAACTAGGAAATGTCAGATATTCTTCCCCTAGTAATAGCCAGTGGTTATACTCTTGCCTTTATTTTTCTTCACAATACTCTTGGCAGCACATAAGGCCTTCCCTACAATGTGAGTTTCAGTCAGACTTGTTTCTGAGCATTCTTCCTCAAATTTCTCCCCAGTCTCATTATTCTTTATTCTCAGGTCCATGACTAGTCATAATAGTGATTACGAAAAACCTCTACCTTTCTTTAGTGTATTGAATGTATATCTTATCATTTTGGTTGTGTTAACTGTGTAAATCTCTCAGTGGAAATCTGAAAAGCCTTTATTTCCTTAGATGATAATATGCAATTGATTTAGGAGATAGGGAATTTTTCAGTTACCTTTATAACAGCAAAATATTAGCAGTTTAATCTAAATGCTAAGTGAATGTTTTGAGAGGAGATAGATGTTGAAAATCAAGATACATTAAGTCCCAAGTGAGGTGAAAAGCTGACTGTTAATTTCTGCACACAAAGATTTGCTTCAGTGAATTGATTTCAACAGCTGAGATACTGATCATTTCACCTGGTCTACCAAAAAGAATGATTTTACTTTCTTTTTTGTCAAATCTCTGCCCAGCAATTCTTTTTCTTTCTTTTGTTTGTTTGTTTGTTTTTAGCCAGGTCTCACTTTGTCACCCAGGCGGGAGTGTGGTGGTATGATCATAGTTCACTGCAGCCTCCAACTCCTGGGCTCAAGTGACCCTCCAGCTTCAGCTTTTCAAGAAATTGGGACTACAGGCACATGCAACTATGCCTGACTGAAATTCTATATATCTTTTTTGTAGAGAAGGGATCTCACTGTGTTGCCCAGGTGGGTCTCGAGCTCCTGGTCTCAAGCCATCCTCCTGCCTCAGCCTCCCAAAGTGCTAGGGTTATAGGTGTGAGCCATTGGTGTCCAGCTACTGCCTGCCTGGCAATTCTGAATGCCTTAATTTTTTTTTTTTTTTTTTTTTTTTTTTTTAAAAAGGTTTTTCCTTTTCCCCCCCCACCGGGGGAAAAAAAAAAACCATCTTAAAAAAAAAAAAAAAAAAAAACATGAAAAA